GCACAAATGTTTTAGAAATCTTAACTATTGTACATAGACTTAATTCTATAATTTCAATTAATAAAGTTTCTACTTTGATATTATAAAAAAAAAAAAAAAAAAAAAAAAAAAAAAAAAAAAATTTTTTAAGTTATAAACATTATATAAAATTTTTTAGAAGTTTTTAATATAGATTATCTATTGTAGAAGATATTAAGAATTAAAGAGTAGAAGATTGATTTGAAAGTTATTTTATTATTATTATTATTAAGGTAGTCTAATTTTTTTTTTTTTTTTATAATACCAATATAGAAACTTTATTAATTGAAAAAATAAAGTTAAGTCTATATATAATAGTTAAAATTTCTAAAATATTTATATTATATTTTAGGTACCCAATATGATATTACACCTTCTATTTCTTGAAAAAGCTAAACTAATTATTTCAAATTAAATTTAAGCTAAAGATAGGTTAGGAGAAAACTCTAAGGTAGTTTAATTTAATATACAAATTTAAATATAGATAATTATTTATAATTTGTAATTATATAAAGAATATATAATATATTACATATATAACTTTAGTTATTATCTATTTAAATAATTCACTATATAGATAAATTACCTAATTAGTTTTATACAAACTACTATATTTATAACTTACTTATAAGTTATCTATTTAAATACTCTGTTCAACTAATCTATACTATTACAAACAATATAATTATAATATCTGACTATTTAAATCAGCTAGATTATTGCAAATCTATTTACTAACTCAAGTTTAGATCCTCTCAAATTATATTATATCCAACATATTGTGAGTATTTGCAAAGCTAGTTGACTTTGATAATTTGATAATTAATTTACTATATAAATATAAAAATATTATCTGAAATTAGAAGATTATTTGTTAGTAAAAATTTAATATATTAGATAATTTTGTCAATTGTTTTAAGGTCATGATATAAATTAATAGCTTTAGAAGTAAATATATAATAGAAATTGCAAATTATAAATTTTTTGTTAGATATAGTTTGAAGAGTAGACTATATAATACAAGACTAGATTTGGTATTATGTTTTTTCAAGTAAATTTGATGTTTCAGTACTTAATAAAATATGGTATAAAGTAGATATTAGTCAGTTTTGTAAGAGAACTCTTCTCAGGTCTCTTTAGTTATTGCTTTGTAGTTGAAGATTCTATATTTTTTGATTTAAAACATTAAAAATTTTAAATCTACTAAATCATTAAAAAATTTTAAATTAGATTATAAATTTATATTCTAGTTACGAAAACTAACTTTCAATATGCAAATTATTACACATTATACTTATAATCAATCATTTAGAATACTATTATACTTATAAGTATGATCTTTCTGTAACTATTATACTTATAAGTATGATAAGTTTGACTATTAATCATACATATGCGTATGAACTCTAAATTTGTCCTACGCTACTTTCTTACTATGCTCCTTTACATATTACTCCTCTGACACTTGTAATCTCTATTATTAATAAATGATCCATAAAATTAATACACAAAGATATTTTTACTAATAAATGGTTTCAATACAAATACTTTAATTTTTCATATTTAACTATAAAATTAAAGGTTATATAAAAGATTCGAACTGACTATTTTTATTTGGATATTACCAAAGTAAACATAAGCTTATTAAAGTTTTTTATATTTGTCGCAAAGCATCACTACCAGGCGTTGGAATAGCTTCATCACGACTACCTGGTTTTTGGATAATTTCATCATTCCTACTACCTGGTATTAGAATAATTTCTTTATCTTTCTTTCTTTTCTCGTATCTTCGATAAATTATAAATCCTAATACGCATACAATAACAACTACTACAGAGATAATAATACCCACAATTGCACCTATAATATATGGTGTAGTTGTAGATGTAGGTGTAACTGCGGTTGAAGAATTTACTGACCATACGTTGGTTTGTAGGTTAAGCGCATAAATATCGTAATTGAGATTATTAACAAAAGCATTATTTTGACTTAAGTCAAAAGTTCCATTTTTAGAAATAGCACCTATAATGGAATTAAAGTTAAAATTTAAATATTACAGATAAAGAATTATCATTAGATAAACTCGATGGATAGTTACCAAGGGCAATTATCATATGAGATCCATTTAATGCTGCTACATGACCAGTTATGTATTGTGGAGCATGTGGGCTAAGTGATTCAGAAGTCCATTTATATGGTGAGGTATTTGTATTCAAATTTGCCATTACTGGAATAGGTGAATTTTTAATATTCTGTCCTCCATAAATAATAATATTCCCATCCGGTGCTATAATTTTTTTTCAACAAAAAATGTTAGATCTAATATTTAAAACGTTCAAGCAAATCAAAATGAAATACCTAATACTGCAGTAAATAACTCGCGTCCTTGAATAATGTCACCAGAAGCGTTCTAAGTTTTAAATAATTAGACTTATATCTGTATTTTTGGTCAATTTAGTTAAATTATTAAGCGATATGTACCATAGACGACCAACTTCCCTTTATCGTATCATAAATTGGAATCTAATTATAGTAAGTAGATGTTAATAAATAAAGTAGAATACATATAATCACTTCTCAAACGATTGTTTTATTACAATCAGTTTACTAAAATAAGAGCTCATGAACAGTTCAGTTTACTAGTAGTCACGATTTGTTTACTTTCCTATTATTATATGGAATAGCCTACTCAGAGTTGGTTTAAAATTTCTATGTATTTGAGCAATCAGGGAGCAGTTTTCTGGAGAAGCAATGTATAATTCTAGAATAAGCATAATTCAATAGAGTGGGTTGAAGATGAGTTAACCCAACTCAACTCATTAAAACTTTTAACAAAATTATTTAAAGTTTTTACGTTTAATGTCAGTCGATACTTGTCAGTTAAATTGTTATAGTGAACTGAACTTCAGCAAACTATTTGTGACGATGTACTGAACTGCCAGCAATACAACTGTTCTCATAAATTCCAAATAATAAAAATTTACGATGACCAATTATGAAAGCAGCTGTAAATTCTGTAAACTTATTGTTGATAAATAATGCTAATATATATATAATTTTTCTTATATTAAATTATGAATTATTATTTCACATTACCTGTGCCATATCAATATAATTAAGATTAGCATCAACACCTCCAATATAAAGGATTAGTCCATTTGATAAAAATATTGAAACCATGTCAAAACGTGCTGTTGGAGCATTTACAGTTGAACCCAAAGACCAAGAATAAGTAATAGTATTGAAGTAGTTAATGTCATTAAAATAAATATTTGTAGTAGCATTACTTCCTCCGAAATACCAAATCTTTCCATTATTATCAATTACAGCGGTTGCTTGGGTCCTACTTATAGGTATAATTCCATTTGCTCCAGTTTGATGCCATTGATTAATAGATATATCATAATCATATACTATTGAATGATCAATTAAAAATACTGTTTTATTGCCATCAAATACTGCATTGGCAGCAGAAACTCTAGCAGGTATATTAGTTAAAAGATACCATGGGTTTGATGTACCAATGAGCGATATATCAAGATATAGTGTCTGAGAAGTTCCTATTTAATATGAAATATAATAAGAAAACTATAAGTATAAAAATATTTATTTAATTGAATTCTAACCTATTACACCAAAAGGATCACCACCAAAAACGTATAGCTTGTTGTTAATAGTGACAGAGCTAGAATAACTACGACCAGCTGGTGAAATAGTGGTCGCACCATTGGTGGTAGTAGCAAACCAAGTAAATACAAGTACTAAACACATATAGTCTTTCATGAACATGAACATCCTGGATCAAAAATTTTTACGTACGTACGTACGTATTGGAAGTTACAATGAGAATGTTCAATATTTATGTATTTGTTACCTCAACAATATCTTTAGCATGCTTTTAATTACCTGCATACACATAACATGTAAATGATCATTCCAAATTAATGTTATTGTATAATGCCTGTGAAATTTATGTACTTTTTGATGTTTTTAGAATAGTAGTCACACGATTTGTCACGCAGATCACAGGATTAAATTTTTTCTTATGTGATCGACATCTATTTGATACGTAGCAATAGCGATAGGCCTATTTTTAATACGTAGTAAATTGAAACAGCTGATTTCAATGGTTCCTTAAAAGGAGAACGTTTAAAGCAGAGTGCGGTTAGGGTTGGTTTTTTGATGCAGTTAGTATATTATTTATATATAGATATCAAGAATAGAACTTATGCAACATGTAGATCAATATGTAAATGCACCACGCTTTAGACGACTCCCTTAAAAGGAAACTGTATTCACGGGATGTGGTGCGACTATCTAAAACGATAACGATAAATTCTACGTCGTGCGCAAGTTTTAAAGTATGATAAAAATAAACTCGAGAAGGGTTTCGTCTTTGAAGGTCGTTCGTTGTTTCATAATATTATATAATTAATGCAGAAAAACCAACGTTGTGAACTTTTTTTTTTTTTTTTTTTTAGTTCTCAGTTATACCAACTCATTAATACAAAAAAATTGGTTCTAACAATAAAATTTTAAATCTTATAGTTGATAAACCGCAATGTTATAATTATGGAATATGATACTAGTTGGACTTTTTTTATCGGATTGGACTTTTTTGTGTCGGGTTGGACTTTTTGTGTGGGGTTAGACTATATGAGGGCTTTGCAGTAGAAAGGGCCGAAACTACCCAGAAACAAAAATCGAGTTGTTACTAAATATAAATAAATTCAGTATTTGGTACATTTTTCAATTATAAATGAAACTTGATTTACTTAATAAAAAGTCGAGATAATGCATCATTTAAAAAATTGAAATCGTTGAAGGCAAGGTAAATCATGGGTAGTGATGGGCATGCGCAGGATCACGCGCGGAATTTTTAATATGATCCCCAATTCAGGCCAGCCGGCCCGCATTAACATAATTTTAAGAAACCCACAATGTAATCCTATCCCGCGCATCACGCGCGGATCACGCGCGTAACCCGCATCCCGCGCGTAGATCATTTCGTGATTTTACAAGATCTGATTGGCTAGTAGAATTATACTAAAAACGAACCCAAAGTAAAATATTTCACAAAATATAACAGCATTAATTGAATAAAAGATACATTTATTTAAATTTTAATAATTGCAATAATTTATTAATTTGGTCTAAGGGGTATTGTCATATATATAATTCGATTATATTTTTTTAAAAAAAACATCGATATCTTAATTTTAACGGACTATTAGATACGTTTATAAAGAGTTTGTACCAAAACTAAATTGTTAACAATGAATACAGTAATAACAAAAATAATTAAATTAATATATTGTAAATAAATTAAAGAAAATAGTAAACAATTGCAAGTAAAAATTAAGCAAAACTCAAACCTATCTTCCAATAGTTTCGACAAATTTTTTAGTTTTACTTATTAGAATTAAGATTACAATAGCTGAACCCAGTTTCGACTTTCATCAATATTATAATCTACAGGCTTTGTCTAATAAATATAATCTTAACATACTATCAATCTTGAGAACAAACTCGCTTACTAGAGATCTAACTATAAAAAAAAAAAAAACTATTTTCTTTGTTTTAGAGATTCTTATATAGTATAAGTAACAACTGAATTAAAAAAAACGCTCTATAGCTAACCCTCATGATTATTCCTCCATTTTCGTGATTATTTTGACAGTATATAGTGTAGTTTCTGAGTATGTATTCAGTTTCCCTGTACAATTCATTTTCGTGGCAAACAATTCGTTTAAAGTCATATGATATATGTGATGTATATGTGATGATACATTTCAGTAATTGACCAATCGGATTTAAAGACTATTCTGGGCAAATCAGGATTTTCCCATCACTAATCACAGGATTATCCGATATATTCAACTAATCAAAATCTTGGTATTTTGTTAACCCGGATCAAAATTATATATATCGGAGTTTGGGCCCTTTCTACTGCAAAGCCCCCATATTGTGTCAGAATTGTGTTAGGTTAAATAAAACTTAATAAATTTATAGTGCAATGCATATGTCGTCTGAATTTCAGTGCATCGGAAATGTGAAATAATTTAGAAAAATCTTGCCCACGGTTAGTGATTGTACCCGTATAACCCGTCTAAGACCTGTAACCGGTCATGACTAACAGGAGCGACCGTCATCGTTACACAAATTGCAGATCGCTTCCGAAGCCCTCCCAACCAATCAAAATTACGAATTTTAAAGATAGAATTGATATGAAACCAAACGAGATTTGAATTAAAATTATTAAAATTTATATTTTATATTTAGAATAAAATATTTTAAACATTGCAAAATACCTTAAACATTACTACAAGATAGACATATATGTCTTATATATTCACTATTAATTATTATTATAATTATAAAAAAGATTTTTATTTCGCTTTTATAATCAAACTATATTTAATTTTAAACCCAAACTTAGCATTTATAATTCAACTATTATTTTACTAGTATATATATGTATATATTTACATTCTAGAAAATATACCCAGCTCATATCTCAACTATATAAGTAGCGTGTTTCTCATAATCTAAAAATTACATAAAAAATTAGTGAAAAGCTATTTCATATATATATATTTATCTAAAATATTTTTAACCGTTGATACTAAATGTATAAAAAGTATATACCAATATTAAATATATACTATAACCTTTATAGATATTTATTACCTTTAATTTTTTTATTGCTCAGCGAACTGAAACTTGACGATCTAGTAGTTCAACATTTATACAGCACCTATTTCTTATATGTCTTGTATAAATTTTGCTGGTTGAAACGCAATATAAAAGTTGTGGGATTCAACGGGATTCAACTGATATTATTAAAATATAATATAAAAACTCCAAAGTTTGCTTAGTATATTTCATATTATATTGTAAAAATAGGTTACGCGAGTTTCTCAAAAAGTATAAAAAACGTACAAAAAATTTTTTTTATCAACTGTGATTGGCTAATCAGCATGTGATGTCAATTTTAATTGGGTTGGAGAATTTCGGAAGCGATCTGTAATTTGTGTAACGATGATGGTCGCTCCTGTTTTTAACGCCTTCATTGAAAAATGTCGGACGTGTCTCATCAAAGAAAAAAAATTAAAATGAAAATGGGTAGTCATGATAATGCAAACAAAAAAATATATTAACTTTACATGTTTAGTTATTTCCATTATGAAAGAAAATAATTTTTTATGCTTCATCAGTCGTTATAGGTTTCGTCATAGGTTTCGTCAATCGTCAATTCGTCATTCAGAAATTGCTTGACGAAAGGTTTCATCATTCGTCAATGACGAAAGATTCGTCATTCGTCAGGCATCTTTAGTGGTGATGCAAATAGTTGGTGGCTCCGACTAGCTAACAGTTAGCTAAAACAAAGCTGAGCTGTATTTTAGTGGGTCGCACTTTAGCTGAGCCATTTTTTAGCGAGCTGATCAAAAGCCGCAGCTCCTATTTTTGTTATAAATTTGTATCGTAATTGTTAAAGCCCACTGTAGGAGGCTGTGTACATATTGGCACAAGATAAAATGATAGCGAGATGCCTCTGATGTAATATAATAGATTTCCGCTAATGTTATTAGCAGAAATTGTTTTGTGCTTGTAGAAATATTTTGACATTCAATATTTAGTATACCAAAATTCTAAAATAATGCGATACATATAAATTATTGATTAGCGAGTATCCAAACTTGTTAATATTTGTGGATTTTAAAATAGATTTAATCCAAAAATGTTTGCTTTTATGCACAAGCCATTTAACAATCAGGTTTATTTATTAATTTCCAAATGATAACTGTTTAAAATTTTTTAATTCATTATTTATTTTTGGTGGTGAGAATTTCCTTTCTGAGAAATGAGAGGAAATTTTTCATTGTTGATCTATACCCGAAAAGCAAATATCCTCTTATAGAAATAATCATTTGTCATTTGACATTCTATATTCGTCATAGTTAGTGATGAGCATGTTGTAAAGGTCAAAAATACCCTGCCCCGAATGTACTACCTTCCGATGTAGTACCAAGTCCGATATGGCCGATATGTACGATTCTTGCGATCTTGTAAAT